CATTCCGCTACTTCCTCCTTTGGGCGTTCAACGATGTGGGCCTCGGCGACCTGCTGGATCTCAGGGACGACCACCAGGCGTTGTTGCAGGACGGCGCGGCGCACGACTGCCCTCTCCCAGTCGTGCAGCCGCTACCTCCCCGCAGCGTCGTGGAGCCAGCCGCCGCTGGCCCGCCGCCCACAACCACTACCAGGCCACTGCTTCCGGCACGCTAATGAGCCTCTATTCTCCCGAGCAGTAAGGAGATGTTGTGCGGAAAGCACATGTTGCGAGTGTATGTTTCAGGTGTTTCAAATGTTTCAGATATATGTTACAACTGTTTCATACGGATGTTGCAAAAGTATGTAGATCAGGGATGTTGCATATGTTGCAATGGTTGTACACATATGTTGCAAGCGTTTGTCCCCAATGTTTTATCTGTGTTTTTAGACGTATGTTGCAAATGTGTTTATCTAGATGTTACATATATTTTAAACATATATTGCAAGTGTTTTATCTGGATGTTGCGTATGTTTGTGTGGACGTCGAAAAAAGCCTCGCCGCCAACATGCGGAGCAAGTCGGGAGAAACCGCGTGGAGCAGATCCCTAGCTCTCCTCGGGCTTAGGAAAACACCAGACCAGATGGTCGTGACCTAGGGCATGCCAGTTAATTTGACCCTACAATTGATAAGGAGGAAAGGTTGATCAGTAATTTAAAGTGAAACATGCCAGTGTTGTTCCAAACAGTTTCAAATGTACAGCTAAGTAGCCGATGATATAAAGCTATCGACTAAAGAGTCGATATCTAGTATGTTCATGATGCAAAGCGAATAAATAAGCATATCGGCAATTATCAGAAATTTAAATGTATAGATCTTAACAGCCGATGATCATGAGAGCATGTACAGGTATAATGGATAAACAGGAAAGCATCTATATTAATTGAGAATCATACTAGCTTTTAACCAAAATAAGAACAAGTACAACTATATAAATGGCTAGTGTATTCTCAATAAGCAGGTTATCGGCTAAAATAGTTGATTCCCGTGGAAGTAAACTCATAACATGCAGGCATTCCACCATTAACCATAGACAGGTCCTTAAACTTATCGAATCTAACCTATTATCTCTAACAGTGGGGTTCGACCAGATCGATGGCAGCCATAATAAAGATAACGGATTAAACCCTCAAAGAGTACAAATCTATTCACACTTAAAGGAATCATGAAAGCATGTTACGATCGTGAAAGCATGAGCGATCGACTAAATAGCCAATGCAAACATAGCATGCAGTCAGAGGCTATGTTTGATCATAAGCGAGACTTATTAATTGATAATCTCTAATCTATAATGCTAACAGTGAAGGTCGATTGGATCGATGGCAGCAATAATAGCAGTTATAGACTAGATCTCATCAATTAATAAGCTTTACTTAGGATCAAACACGCCTTGATCACATTCTATCTTCGATCAAGATTGGAACAAAATGATTAATCTAGCCTGAACCATCGTCAAAGTGGGATGTGAACAGGATAAAGCAATGAGATGATAGTTCAAAGAGATATAAAGTCGATCCATTTTAATCTTAATCGGGTAAAGGGTGATGTTATTACAAATAGTAAAAGTACTAATTATAACAAGATCGATAATTAGTAAATCTATTAAAAACAGCTAGAAAACCCCACCAATCCTAATAGATTTAACCGATAACTAATTCGTATCAAAATTTATACGAGATCGAGTCGGACCGATGCAACCTTACAAATTTTAATAAGAATCAAGGAGTAACTTGTATCAGGAATTGCACGAGATCGAGCCGGACCGATGCAACCTTACAATTACTGATAAAAGTTGATAACTAACTTATACAAAGCTTACAAGAGGTCGAGCCGGACCGATGCAAGCTAATAAACAAAGTATAAGTCGTGACAGATACTCACAAACAAACTGGAGATCGGACCTAATCGATGCAGCCCTGTTTGCCCGAAGAACTCACCGAGATCTACTCTACTCCTACTTTTAAGGGGTGGCGTAAGCCGAAAAGTAAAGGTACTAGTCTGATTGATAGATGAGAGATGTCTACAATTGGCCATGCACCCTTTATATTTATAAGGATGTACCTGGTCTTTCCGTTACATAGAAATTCTAGTCTAGCTCAAATATACCATTTTAATTCGGCTATGCAGGTACACAGCAATATCGATCTTTGATTGAGCCACGGAGTCCCAAAAGAACACGTCACGGTCATGTGGACGAATTTGCGGATATCTCCTAGCTTCTCCCTCTTGCATGCGAGATCATGTCTCTTACTTGCATGCCTTGCCTCTGCTCTATATCCCTTCCTTGCTCGATCCTACGTGCATGTAACTTCTTTTGCCAAAGCAAATAACCAGCGGCCTCATGTATATCTTTCTATATTGTGGTTTTGCTTTGCCTTAGTTTCTTCACGTACTCACGTACATGCAGCCAGCCATCTTGTCTTGCACGTTTGCTTCTCCTTAGTTTCTTCACGTACTCACGTACATGCAGCCAGCCATCTTGTCTTGCACGTTTGCTTCAATCGCCAGACATAATCAAATCAATATTGATCTGAGATAAAATCCCTTTTACTTTCCTTGCGTGGACGTCCTCGGCAAATAAAATTGCTTCCGTCTAGACTGTCTTCGTGTAATAAACTGACTGTGCATGAACGTCGTTCAACCTCCGACGTATCTTTCTTCTATGCATGTAGATCTTGGCTGGCACGTGTTTACGAGTATACAAGACTACAATACCTCAAATCGGCCACAAAAGCATTACAAACTTATTAATTTGGCCGATTAACCACTAGTGCAGGACTGGGTAGCAATCTCGGTTGGGAAACCCCCTCCAGTCCTGATACTGCCAATCCGGGACTAAAGGCCCATCCTTTAGTTTCGGGTCTGTTTATCGGGATTGAATAGGGGGCCCTTTAGTCCCGGTTGCTTATACCAACCTGGACTAAAGAGCCTCCAGGACGACTCCGAAGACAGGCACCTCCAGACCCGGTTGGTATAACCAACCGGAACTAAATATTACTCTTTTTGTTTTCTTTTCTTTTCTAGTTTCTTTCCATTCAATTTGTTTCTGTTTCAAATAGTTTTCGTACACGTTTGATATGCTATACTATTATACGTCATCCATAAATAAGAATGGAACTAATTAAGAGCTTATATATTACAATGATCATCCCCAGTCATCAAGTTCATACAAACCATAATAATTTAAAACAAGTCATTACAATAAACTAGATGTCCAACCCTAAAGTTCAATTACACACCAAGTTCATCCAAGCGCAAGTAGATCACCGCCAAGTTTGACTACGTTGTATTATGTACTCGGCGAAATGTAGGTCACCGATTTTGTATCCACAAATATTATTGACGTAGAGCAACGCATTAAGTAGTGCACTTTTCCTTGTTTCAAAAGTACGAGCACTGGGTCTACTAACGACGGTAAGCGGTGGTCGAGAAGTCAGTGGGTCACATGATCCCCTCTTAGTCATAATCAGCTTTTTTTGAAATGCTTCCGTAGTGAGTGTTGGACATTCATCGGCATATTTCCAATCAAAACTCAATGCATACATTGTCTGGTTTAGTATGGCTTCAAAGCTACAACCTGCATAGGTTAAGTCATAGTCCTCAACATGTAATTGTTGGTACAAAAAAATGGATATGAGAACAAAGCTTTCGAATAACAACAAATCTGAATATAAGTTCAACTTCGACTTTACCACATCATTTCAGTTGGTTCGAGCAATCCTTGCACAGAAGCCCGCAACATCATCATATGAGCCCGCATCTATTGCTTGTATCGTCATGGAGGATAGTGTAGGCAGGGTGTACCCAATATTCACAAGCTTATTGAAACATGATTTGACAGCATATATAATTGCAACTTTCTTCTCAGGTGCCTTTACTCCCACCTCTGAGATATGAACAACACCTGTACCCCTCCTAGTGGCGATGGAAAAGCCAATTCGAGATTGGACCAATCGACCATTATCTACATCAAAGCTCTCAACATCCACTCCCTTAACCCCGAAATATGAAAGTATCTCTTTAAGCCAAATGATTGGGTCAATTACCTACGATACATTAAAGAAACATATATATACATATCAGAAAAATATATTGTGTACTAGCATATTTAAGACATATTAATGTATTAAAACATATATCGTTGCTTACTATGCTAGGATGATTTAATGGTACATCCAGCAACCTTGGTTCGAATCCCCAAGAAATACAATAGCCCCAACATGGGGCAATCAGTTCAGGGAGACGTCTAGCCATCTCTTCTCACAAAAGTTAATATATAAAAATTCATATCACTGGAGTCGATATATGAATTCATACACCAAAATTCATATATTCATAAGAATTTCCCTATATATATCACTGAAGTCAATATTTTTCATATACCAAAATGCATATCACTAAAGCCTACATATCAAAATTCACATCAGTAAAACCTTATACATCAAAATACATATAACCGGACCCTATATATATCAAATGCATATCAAATATATACAATATATCACACTAAAGTCAATATATCCAAATTTATATCACCAAAGTCAGTATCTTTCCACATATATATATATATATATATATCAAATTATGTCAAAATATATGACTAAAGCAATTACAAGTTAGATCGAATACAAATAGCTAGCTTAGCCAATTAGCTTAAGTTAGGGTTGAGTGCTACATTTCTAGAGTAGTTCCCTTCCCCTTTTAATAAGAGAAACAATTAGAATGTTCCTAATTCCAAATCTATAATATCATAAAAAATATCTAGCTCCTACTCAACCCTTGAGTCAAATTTTTTTAGACCTCCAATGCCACTCGGATATGTGCAATGTATATATATAATTGTATTGTATGTTCAGCGCTCGGTTTCACACAACAGGAAGGGATAAGGCGAGGCGATTGAGGTCGAATACCAGGTGGCACCAGCGAGGACAAGGCCGGGGACGAAGGCACCGGTGGAGACGATGTCAAGGCTAGAGATGAAGGCGCTAATGGAGACAAGAGCGATGGAGCCACCGCACGCATCGGAGACGTGGACGAGGTCAAGGCCGGCTGGAGACGAGGCCGCACATGTCGGAGCTGAGGATGAGGGTGACGCCAGCTACCGGAGACAAGGGAGAGGGCCCCTCGCGCGCCGGGGAGAGAGGACGAGAACGAGGCTGGCTGCCAGAGATGAGGAAGAGGGCACCGTCGCGCACGTTGGGGAGACAACACCGGATGACGGTGAGGCTGGCTGGATCGAGACGAGGCCACGCACGCCGGATCGAGACAGGCGCATGGCGCGAGTGGCGAGTGTGGCCATAGACGAGGAAGAGGGGAAGGGTGGCGAACGCGGCCGGCATGGGGGATTGAAGAAGCGCGGCATGGCGGCAGTGGTGAGTGAAATTTCGGGAAGGAAAAAGAAAGAGCACCAGTATATATTCAAAAATCATCAAATTTGAACTTAGTATCACGAAGAAAGACTAGTTATAAGTTTTAGCCCGGGATTAAAAAGAGAAATCAAACTTCTTTAAAAATTTAATTTCAAACAGAATTTCGAAACAGTAGATGATTCCAAATGAAAAAGTTGTCAACTATAAAGTTGCATAACGTTTCGAGATCTACAACTTTCATATTGGTTGTTTCTCCATTTGAGGTGATTTTAGAAATTCAAATTTCAAATTTGAGAAATTTGAATATAGTTTTCCTCGACAAGATGACTTCAAATGAAAAAATTGTCAACTACAAAGTTGTATAACTTTTCGAGATCTACAACTTTCATATTGGTTGTTTCTCTAATTTTTTATTTGTATATGCATTTCAATCCTACATGAGTTAAATTTCAATCCATACAAACATAATTATAATATCCATACCAATAAACTAATGAACATAATTAACTTGCATACAAACATAATTAAAATATCCATACAAATAAACTAAATTAAACATAACTGAATAAACATAACTAACATATGGATCCTACAAACCGGCTGCAATCCTAGCCTGTCTCCACTGCCAGTAGCGTGCAACACCCCTGGTGTTACGAGCTTATTTAGCACCATGATTTAGGCTTAAGTAAAAATTTTATAAACAAAATAAAATATTACTTGTATTTAGTATTTGAATAAATCTAGAGTGCAAGTCGAGTTGATGAAAGCGCAACTTGGGTTTTGAAAAACAAATGCTGTTGCGCGTTCGTAGCCGCTCGTTTTACCTATCCTGCCACAGCCAACAGAGCCACGTGACGCCCATGTGTTTAGCTCTCTGCCATGGATCAACTATTGACTACCAGTGAGGATGAGACATCTCCATGCCCTGCTCTACCGCTAGCCGACGTCGACGACCCGCTCGGACACGCTGCTACGATTGAATGCCTCGCGCCAAGTCTTTTTCTGTTCACCAACCGGGCCACGTGCTCGTGGTCGCTGCCCGCTTCGTCGCATCACCTCTGCAGCTAGGAATGCCTCTGTCTGCCTTTGCATGTGTCTACTTCCTTTTTCCTCTTCCATCGCTCCTTGTGCACACCGAGGCCGAGTTGCAGTCTGCCTCTGCTTGTCCTTGCTGCCTACCGTTGTTGTCTGTCACTGTGCCGAGGTCAAGATGCTGCTGCTGTCATGTACTTTTCCTTTCTTTTTCTGTAGCTAAGGAGCCCAGCTCAGCTCGCCCTCCCCGCTCACTCTCTCAGTCCCTCTCGCTCTATCTTCCTACTACGCCGGGCCACCGACGCAGCGGCGTGCCACCGCCCGCCCGTAGTTGGTTTCTTCCCCACCACGCGCGAGCGCGCGCGCAGGCTCTCAGCGTCGCCCCTCCCTCTACTTGCCCTACGCCAAACCGCCGGTTGCCCGGGCCAGCACTGCTCCATGGCTGTCACCGCTGCCGCCCGAGCCTCCATCGCCGGTCTTGTCTCCTGCCGTCCGTCGCGCATCCCGCAGACCGCCCTGGACTGTAGCTCTTAGCGCCGGCGCCCCTCGTATTCCTTCCCGCAGCGTCGTTGCCACAGCCCACACGACACCGAGCTACTCCGCCTCGCCTCGCAACCGCGGCGCACCCATGCCCCGTTGCTGCCACGCTGGGCCTGCTGCTCTCAGCTCCACCCTTTCCCTTCACCGCTCTGGCGCTACCCCTCCCGAGCCTCGCGTGCCCCGCAGCGCCCGGCCGAACTACGCCACGCCCGCCGTCACCCTGCTTTCCTCACGTAGTGCGCCCAAGCCTGCACTGTCCCGCGCCGACACCACCGGTGGCCACTCTGCCAGAATCGACTTCGCCTCGGCGCTCCTCTGCGCCACGGCCGCCGCTATGCATGGTCCTAATGTCTGGCACAAACTCCGGCCGTGCCGCGGCCGCCTTGGGGTCACGGAGGAACCCGTGCTGGGAGCCGTCCGTCCCATCGTAGCCGTGACGCGCCGTCCCGCCGTCCACTCCTGGTCGACGCCGCCGCTGCCGGCGTGCCCGTCACCGTGGCTCGCGTAGGCATGCTGCTCGGGTCTGACTTAGGTCTTCTCATGGCCAGGCCCGGTTCCTGTCATGTCCGCAACTCCCCGTGCCACCACACGACTGCACCACCGCCGGCGAGCCGCCCCTTGGCCGGCGGATGGTTTCCCATCGAGTGCTCCACTTTGGAGGATGAAGGAATGGGTGAGAATCCAAGAAGAAGTTTTATACAGGGTTCTCATTGCAAACTACATGACTCAAGTGGATAGTGCGTATGTTCTGCAGATTGATTTAAGAGACATGCAGGGACCGCATCGCAAAACTACCTCCGTCGCTGGGTTTCCCCCGTGGGCCGGCTTGCTGGGCTGCGGCCTGCCAGTTGCTTGGGCCGTTCACGCCGTTGTGGCATTGCCACCTGGGCCACCGGCCACGCGCCCTGCCTGGGCCGGCCTTGCGTCGCTGGGCCGCGCACGCTATGCGCCTGCGGGCCGAACCAGCTCACCGCCGTGGGCCTCGCTGAGGCCGCGCCCACCGCTGGGCCGACCCGTGCCACGTCCGCCTGGGCCACGCGTCCCTCTTGGCAGTCCGCGCCGTTCCGCGCCGCTGGGCCATGTCTGGCCAACAGGCTGCGCGCGTTTGCAGGCCGAGCCAAGCCGCCGGCTCTTTTCGATTTGTAGAGCGTTTTCTAATTTAGCTTACAAGGAAAATTGTAGAGTTAGAATAAAATTGTGTAGGTGTCTAAAAATTGTGAAACCAATTTTGTTAGGCTCCTAAAATCGTGATCTTTCTATTAGCGTAATTGGTTCATTTAGTTTGAAAATATTTCTAGGGTTGCTCTAATTATTTTAGAATGTTTAAAATTGTTAAAATGTGAACTTGTGGGAATTTTTGTGAGAAATCAGTGATAGTATTAGCTCTAAAAATTTTACAGTAAATTACTAATATTATTAGCTGCTCAATGTAATTTTTGTAGCTTCAGAATGATTAGTTTGCGAGATAGATAATGATGTCCTATTTCGAATAAAGGTTAAATCGATAGAATGAAATAAAGAAACATCTTGAGACTGTATAACTAAAATAATTGTGGAGAAATAACGTCTTATTGGACAACGTGGATATGTAGCCTAAGTATGATCGTCGTTAGAACTAGCTCGTTAACTTGAGAGCCGTAAATCGTATATTACGAGTTACGATTGCAGTTGATTAATTACGTCTTTGCATTGCATCGCATTGCATATTATAATAGGAACGTCGATGGATCGCGGAGTCATCGGGAGTTGCTGGAGAAATGGTGCTTTTGGAGATCATGTCGCCATGATGAAAAGCTAACTTCTGATTATATTTTACCCAGACAAGCCCCGGTGCATAGCCCCTACTTTTCTGCAGTTTAAATTATATTTGTGCATTAAGTTTTAAGGAGTTGAATGAAACCCACTTGCATACATATCTTTATCCTATGAGTCTTACTAGTATGATAGGATCATGTAGAATGCTATGCTATAGGACTCCGGTAAAAGTCGAGTGATTGCCTGTCACTAGCGAGAGATAGGAAATATATTACTGCATTATTATCACTTGAAAAATATAAATGATGGAAATGAAAATAGTGACCGAACAAGGATATGGTTTGGATATTGGTGGGTGTAAGAGGTTGTGTCACCGTGGACGCGGGGCATAGCTTAGTTACACTATTTTCCTTGTCTGTGTCGGTTAAGGACCGGTCGTTGCATAAGCCATTGAGGCAAGTAACAGACTTATTATCCCGAGCACATACTTGGGTATGGGCGCTTGGAAGACTTGTTGCTCTCTTATCGTGGGTTCTGGTTCTTTTCGGACCGACTGTTAGGGTTTTTTTTGTGGAGGAGGTCCTTGCACCGCACTGAGTCCGTGACTCAGGGGCGGGGGCTTGGAGTCCCGATTTGGACGGGGACCTAGGACCCTAGGACAGGAGGGTGATGGGTTGGTCCTACTTGTGCCTTGGGTACAAGGGGGGCATGTGTTTTTGGGGTACCCAGCTAGGGGCATTGATTCGTGAATCGCCGAGCAATCCGGTATGGCTTGTTTCGTGCCTAGCACCATAGTAAGAACTAAAGATGAAAGATGGAAGATGGAAAAAGGAAATCTAATTGCTTACCACCTGCTTGAAAGTAGCACAGGTGCTTACATAGAATGGTTGGTTAATGAACCAATGCGGCTATTAATAAAAATTGAATATAAGGACGCACGCTTAGTAATGCTTCCCGCAAATGCAATAAACCCACAAGCCAGATAGCCTTGCATATCCTTGTAGCCTTTTCTTTCCTCCTGTCGGGTAAGTGTTGCTAAGTACAATTGAGTACTCAGGATTTTATTCTCCCTGTTGCAGATGACAGGTGGATGCTAAAGCTGACTCTTGTGTGTGGATTCCTCCTGGTGGGCTCAGAGAGGATTGCCTTTATGCTGCGATCATAGTTTTTATTTATAACTCTCACTAAATGTTTTTATAAATGAAAGTATATAATCTGTTGTCATAGTTTACATATCAATGCTTCATCATGCCATGAATAGATAATTATTTTCGCTGTAATTCTGATCACATGTTTATATTCCGATGTTACATTAAATTGTTCATAACTCTGATAATATGGTTACATTCCGCGGTTATAATAATAAATATTATACTCTGATGTTGTATTAAAAGTGATGTAAAAATGGTTAAGAAAGATGTAAGCTTTATTCTCTCATTTGTGATCCTGATGGAAAAATATGGATTTTCGGGTTCTCCCTGGGGTGTGCCCGACGGAACTACGTAATTTGATGTTCTCCCTTGAGTGCTTAGTGTCTAATGGAAGGCAAGCACTTCTGGGAGGCATTAGATTAGGCGGTTCTGCCACAGGTGGTATCAGAGCTCAAATGAGGAAATAAGGCTTCGAAAACCTTTTCTAAACTAAAATTTGACAACAAATGCTTTTCAAAAAGTTAG